GAAGCTTCAATTTTTCAAAAATATATCATTTTTAGCGGTTATGGCCATTATGGCACCGCGCTGCTCGATGCCAACATCTATTTTTCAGTGTTGTGTTGAAAAAAAATATTTAGGTACTGGATGTAATTTTTTTTTTTTTTTTTTTTTTCTGGCACCAAATGGCAGACAGTTGGTTAACCCTGTGGAGCATTCAGTAGCCAAAGAGCCACATATTTCACTCAGAAGTAGGTGGAGACCCAAACAGAGCTAATAAAGAGGAAATGTAGGGCTTACATTCACCAGGTACCCAGGAACATGATTTCTAATGAATGAAAGTCTTGTTCTGTGCCTGCTTGATTTATGGCACAAAAACTGAACTGTCCCGCTACAGTATATGGCCCCTGCATACAGCTGGTAGTCCACTCATAAAATAAACAATAAATCTATGAATGATGTTGTCAAAAGCCTAGTAACAATTCCATAAGAACTGAAAACATTCAAAGTAATTATGACAAGTGGAATGCATGAGGGACTGATTTACAAAATTAATGCTGTGTAGATTATTCCCATTTAAGAACAAGAAACAAGTTAGATATGCAAAAACTGCATATAGGCACAACCAAACCCATGGCTGTTCTGCCAATGGAGACATATATAGGTTATATATAAATAGATCTTATAAACTCAACATAAGCTATCACCACACTAAACTGACATTATGGCTTGTGCTGCTATAGCACTAACACCCTATCTATATTTCCCCCCCCTTTTTTGCATTTTTGAGCGCACCAACATTTGTCAGGTCTGTTTGAGGCGCTGCTCATTTGCATCCACTCACTGGTCATTTAAAGCAGGATTTTACTTGAGGCTGCCATCAGGCAGTTGTTTCTTCTCCCAGTAATGTTTTATTCAACATCTCGTGACACATACTTCAAGTTAGAGACCTTGCCAACCAATTAAATATATGATAATGTACATGAGGGATCTGAGAAGGTGACCTATGGTTGTCTCATATTTAGAAGACATTCACTAAAGTAGTTGTACATTTGATTGCTGGAGACCACAACTATGTGAGTTTTGTCTTTTTTTCCTCCTCTGTATGGATTGGTCAGTGACCTTCTCTCTGTACGTACGCCTCTCAAACTAGCAGTTTCAAAGCACCCACATGCAAGCCTGGGAGAGAGTTATGCTTAAGATAAGTGCATTTGTTGGTGAACCACATCAAAGTACAGAGGGATGTCTTAGCGAGCAAAGGCAGTGGAGCTCGAACCAAGCCTTTGATCACCCCAGGCACTCTGATCATTAAAATATTGGATAAATAATTGATTAAAAACACCAGACCTTATTGTGCTCTGTTTCTGTATCCAAATGTATCCCATTTTTTAGAGACAGTGGCTGCACAATGAATAAATAGAGAATGTAGTTAAGAGTGAAATGACCATATAGAACACTTTGTACCATTGTATGGCATTTTTTGGAACAATGCATGCAAATAATTATATATATATATATATATTATTGTTCTAATTCTCTGTAAAGTGAACTGCAGTGCAGTCTCTGAGTTCCCCAGAACTGAGTTCCAGTATGTACTGGAGGCAGGTTGAAGTGCTGCAGCAACCTTTCTTCTCCAGTGAGGGTCAGAGCAATGGTGTGGCAGGTTGGCAGAGAGGTAGAAGGACTGGGTAATAATCAAAAGGCATAGTCAGAAGGTAGGTAGGTATGGGTGCTTTCCGGCTGTGCGTAGGTGACTGGAAAGCAGCTAATATTACATCTACAGCTGAAACTAAGCCTGCAGTGTGCAGGAGAAAGACAATAAGCCGACTGTGGGTATATCAGGGATATTAAAACAATTTTCCATCAGCTTTTGTACATAGGGCAGTTAATCAATCTCCCTCAGTACATATACATTTACATTTAGAGTATAAAAATAAATGTATATTATTCAAGACTGTACATATCTCTCAGCATGAAAAAGGTCTATTACACTGCACAGAGTTTATTGTCTATACATTTGATAAAACTATTGAGTTTCCTAACATAAGCAGAGTTTAATGGTGATTAGTGATTTTGTGTATTTTTGTCATTTTAGAGGTTGACCATACATTCAGACCAATATGTAGCAACAAAAAGTCCAAACTCTATCATGAACAGTAGGTGAAATAAAATACTGAACAAACAGAAACCGTGGAGGTGCAGTATATGTCCGGGTGATGGAAAAGCAAGGACAAATATGGCAAACTTATTACTTAATGGCAATTGAAATTATTTGGTGTACTGCCTCAACAAAGGTTCAGCTAATATTTAACAGCCAAGATTTAAGTTCATTACATCAAATTCCAATTTTCAAATTCAAGCATGTTAAAAAACATAAAAACAGTTTTGGCAACCTTTATTCTTAAAACTAGTACATATCCAGAGAGCCTATTTTTACACAAGCAGGAAAATAACTGGTGGTTCAGGCACCTTTAAACACATAGCCAATATAATACCTCGGGATTTCCAAGGTCTTGCTATTCCATTTTTTTCTTTTTCCTTTTTTTGATGAGATTTTCTCCTGACCTCTGTGAACTTGATGACACTGAAATCTGTCTACATGAGTTTACCAAGGAATAACTATCCATTTAATATTCCTTTTTCTCATTTTCAGCAATTACTACCACTGGTGGCAAAATAACTGTTGGCTTCCCATGGACCTATTCCACTATATTATAATCATACAGAAAATGAAACCCAGTATTTAACCATTTTTTCTTGTCTTTCAAACATATCCTTGCTGAATTGGCCGACCCCTGCACTCCGTTAGCAGTAGCGCAGTATCACAATACAAAGCTTTGTTGAATCTTCTCCATTAATACTAAGTTCAAAGTTTTAAAAGAAAAAATGGTGCATCAAGGCGCCTCGCTGCAGTTACTGAAAACAGTTTTTAGAATGTATGATGTGATAACTTCAAGCTACACTGAAAGCCTTAAAACCGTTCATCCCCGGGGTCCTGATGCTCCTAATAGTTTAAAGCTAATGAGATCTGCTGCTCCCATCTCTGTAGCCTCCCACATAACAGTTTATTTCGTAGTGTAAACACCTTTGAAGGTGGGGAGAAGCACAGAGCAAGGTAAAGAGATAGGAACCATGTTAGCTAGCCACAGTCTCTGGAGCTGCCAAAGCCTACCCTTGCCTATTTCACATTCCTTGTGACTCAGACACAGGGTTCATTGGTGAGGCTCACTATAGTTTGCGGCTGTTCAATTCAACAGGCCTCTCTGCAAGAAGTTGGTAAAAAATAATGGTCAAGGAGGACTGTCAGGGCTGCTCTGTATTCCAGAAATGTCAGTACGGCACCACAGTCCATGACTTAAGCTGCTCTGGAGAGGGTCGGGGGAAAAAGCATGTGGCCTGCTATCAAGTGGTTGTCCCCACGGATGAGATGGATGTGTCTGAATTTATCAATAGGAAGAAAATGACAGATTTGTCAGGTGGCCGTGTCACAATCACACACATCCAGACATATGCACGCATAATACAAATATTCACAGTGGAAAACTTAGACGTGAATGCCATCTGCTCGTGTGTGCATGCACAAGAGACGTGACTGTCTCAGCCAAGAAACAGTGGGCAGAGTTCAAATTTACATCCCTTATATTTCTGGCAAACGCAGCATGTCTTAGACAGTGTGATAAAACTGTTGCAAACAAAACACCTCCTCATCAAAAGGGGCTAATAAAGTCTTCAATATACTTAAGTGTAGCCTTAGATAAATAGAATCCCCATTTCCCTCTGCATTGGTGTTCAGTTGTCCAAAGTGTATTGATGTACTTATTGACATTCAATAAAGGGAAACCCTCTCAGCAAACCACACAGAGTGGTGTAAATCCTGTACACTTCTTGAGTGTGCACAAGGAGCAACTTTCCTCTAACGCAATTACTAGACAGCAATAATGTCACAGTGTGTTCGAACCAATTTTGATTTACAAGTGGACAACATGTTGCCGTTTCATCAGCTTATTATTATTAAGTGGTTCGTATATGTGTGTTTCCCCTGGACAATCCCCCCATCTTGCTTCACTCTTAGTGCGGTATTGATCCTCCCAGTGTACCGGCCCCTCCTGATTTCATTAGACTAGCTGCTGTTAATTACTCCACACTCTAACCTTTTGCTGTTTCATTTGGACCGACAAATTGGATGAATTAAAAAAAAAAAAAAAAAAAAAGGGGAGGTAGAGAGAGGAAAAAGAGAGAAAGGGAAAAAAAAAAAAAAGCTCCCTTGCAGCTGTAGTGGTGGACCCCCCTCCCTCTCTGTGGCGCTTGTGTCAGAATCCCAAGCGGCATAATAATTAAAAAAGTTCATCAATGTTCTCTTTGCTCATCAAATTATGCAGAAGGAGGCTACTCCAGTAATTGTTGCAGAGGATTCATTTATGAAAACCATACCAGCTAGATCTAGTATGGTTGTCTGGGGAGTTGGAGAATTATGCCTTTTTCCACTTCTTTATGTATTTGTAAAAGGTTGCTCAGCTTCAAGCAGGCTGATCATTAAAACACATTTTATTCATGTATGCATATTTATTTACAAGGATCACGTGACAGTCTTAACTAACTTCTGAATTTTGTTTGAATCAAAATGCAGCACCCGTCCTGACTGACACACCAATTTGTCTTCTTAGTGAAGGTATTAAAAGAGTATGATGTGACACATAGCTGCAAAGTTATAATTAGACTTCATTTAATACCTTATGTCATGAGATTACATGCGCAGTGCATGGCATCTAAAGCATATTTAAATCGCAGGGGATGTAATTGATTAACCATATGAGACTGGAAACCAGATGATGAGGATGATGCTCTAAATCCATGTTAAATCAATATAGCCACTTCCTACACATCGAGGGATTATTGACAGAAATTACTACCAGCTGTAATTACTGAGGTACAACACATCAGATAATTTCTGGCATGGTGCATCAATGTGTTTATGCGCACAAGTGAGTCAAAAACATTCGACTGCTATGACTGCTTTAAGTAATCACCTGCTTTAAAGTGGGACATTGTTTCAACGTGGATACATTACCAACCGAGCGAGTGACATTTATAGGATCTTGTGGATCCTTAATATGAGAGATGCCCTTTCCTCAAGGTTGAGTACATTCTAGTTGAAAAGATTCTACATGATGCAGAAGGAGCCATTCAGAGTACTCCCTTTGGCTGAGATAATAACTTCATCATAATTAGCTTGTGGTGCTCAGGAGTGTTGAATTGTCGGTTGCAGTGGGATCTGGGCTGATTTATTGCTTGATTTAATTACGTATCAAAATTCAATTAGACATGCTTTCAACCAAATTCAAAGTGAGTTTTGTCAAGCTGTCCCTTGAAATCAGGTGCGGCTTGAAGGACATCCTTCATAATGCTGTGACATCTAACTTAATAATTATCGCTTAACAAAAATCATCCATGTGCTAAAAGACGAAGACAGAAAAAAAGAAAACAAGAAAAAAATTCCTATGGCAGTTTTAGGGGAGATGTGCTTTTCTTTTTTTCCTTCCATTACTTGTCTCACATAACAGCTGACATCAAACAGCATCAAATACAGCGAAACAGACCTTGATTCAGTAGTGATGTGAAGAAGGTTGCAGGTACTTTACCAAGTGAAGATACATGACAAAATGCTCTTTGAGGTTGACTACGGCTGAGGAAGTGTCTGACTTTCTTTACCCACATCACTCACTGCCTGCTCAACCCCTTTTGCTCTAGACTACACTGGGGAAAAAAAGGGAAGGTGTTTTGAATGAGTGTCACACCAGCCTCCAAGAGCTACATTACTCTTTACTACTATGCAAATTCCGGATGTCATGGTGTCTGTGCTAAGAAGTCGAGGAAGGGAAGGATATTTGAGCCGGAGGTCTCTGACTGAAGTGTAGTCCTTTCCAGTTCTGTAAATACTCTCATTGACAATTTTATTAGGTACACCTTGGTAATACTGTGTGGGGCCCTGTTCGACCCTCTGAACTGCCAGATCTTCTTTTTCTTTTCTTTTTTTTTTTGAAACATTGATTCAGCAAGGTGCCAGAAGTGTTCCATAGGGATTCTGATCTATACTCACTTGACAGTGTAGTTTTTGCAGTTTTTCAGTGGCGTGAATGCTGTGAAGACCCCACTTTCCCCCATCCCAGAAGTGTTTTATTAGGCTGTGATCTGGGGACTGCGCAGACCATTGGAGTAAAGTAATTTCCTGGAAACATCTTGAGACAGTGACACATTATCTTGCCAGAAAAAAAAAAAAAAAACCCTTTGAAGTAGGCTACACTGTCAATATGAAGGGTTGCAGCCGGTCAGCAATAATGTTAGCAAAAATATAAATACACAAAGTACTGGTGGACATGTATCTGAGATTTGTTTCCTGCAATATAAAGTATCCATTGCATCACAGACATCAACCCAGTGCCCTTCCTTACCACCAACGTAAAGAGTTACTTAACCTGCACATGGCTAATGTTTTAGCATGCTAGCTTTTTTTTTATTTATTTATCTTTCACACGTGCAAAGATACCTTTTTACCCTAGCTACCTTTTGTGCCACTGTGATTAGCTTAAACAATAAACTTTCCCATATTTGTTCAAAACTTTTTTTCAACATCCATCCATCCATCCATCCACCCTAACCCCTCCTCCTAACACAGACTTAACGTCACCTTACTTCCTCCTTTCCTCCTGTGGGCTGTAATAAGCTGATCGCACAGATGATCTGGGGGCTCTTTTTATTATTTTTTTAGAGGACAGTCTCGCTGGGTGATAGAACGTCAGCTGTAGCTGCCACAACTGAAGACGATAATCTTATTGATGCATAACAATATCCAGACCTTTACAACCGACGGCCTCTGCTTTATGAATATGATATTAAAAACACATTTCCTGTTTAGCCAGGACATAGCAGAGGAATTATGTCATGGTTCATGTGTTTGCTATTTGGTTCTGTGCAGATACAAGGGATGAGGATTAGATGTTGCTGCTGGCCTCAAAGATAAACCAAAAAGATGGTCAGGAAGAAAGCAAGTGATTCAGAAACCGCATGTTCACTTGGCCGTAAAACATAAAAATATTGAAATATTATCCATAATGTTTCAATTACTAGTTGCTGGAAAAAACACTAAAACAAAAAAAAACCCACGTCAGCTACACCCACAACAAGGTTGCTGCTCAGTGGGAGAAGAGAGCATTGTTGTAGTGTCCATGCTATTACATCACCTTACATGTGATTAGACATGGGTTACATCTTCTTTTTTTTTTTCTTTCTTTTTACACAATGTGTTATACTACCAGTAGGTTTGAAAAAAGCACTAGAGTAATCTGTTAAGTAGGCTGTGGCTTAAAGAATACAACACCCTCTGATGTTGGTACCAGCTGGGATAGATCCATGAATCATCTGCATGTGGCAATAGAAACAAGGATTTATAAGACTAGTAAAGATTTCTCTTTGTAGATTCAGTTTTAATGATCATATGCCTACTGAAGCTTCTACAATATGTTAAAGTTTTGTCCAGTGGTCTCCTTTCATGTGCCATACAACATAGTAGTGTGTTGATTTTCAACATCAACACAAGTCCACATTACAGCAATCTGATTAGGATACCTTGGATCAGAATCAGTAAAGAAAAGAGAAAAAAAAAAAGTTGGTGTAGCATTTGAATGAAAGCAGACACTGTAGATGCTGGTGACACATGCTAGGAGCCCACAGGCTCAGCTGGACAGTGAGTGAACCTCTCAACTCTGTCTGCCTGCATAATGAGTCACAAAGGCTTGACTCACTGTCTGAAGAAGGGAGCTGCATTAACAGGGAGGTGTGTATAATAAAGTGGCCACTAAGTGCACTGTCAAAGAGGAAACACGGTGGAAAGGAGAATGGAAATCCCCTTGATGTGTCAAAACTTCAGTTTATCAAGATTTCCCAGTAATGTGAATTGTTCATCCGTTTGATCTTTCTCCCATTGAAATGCCTGACAGTTTCCTTCATTGAGACTGGCAGAGGCATTGTCCATAGATTGTGATGTGCGGTGACATACTGTATCGCAGGCTGGCGTTTGAAGCAAAGCGCCCGAATCATTGTCATTCACTGACAAACACGGAGCACAATGATGATACTGATTAATGATTCTCAGAACGTTTATGGAAATGATCTCCTGAAAACTGGGAGTTGCTTCTGACTTAAATTTAAACCCACAACTGATAGCCAAATGGTTAGCAGTAATATCATTCAGCTAATTTCATCTCAGTTTCAAAGTGCATTCACTGTCACTCTTCACATATCACCACGAGCATGAGGATTTCACAAAGAAGCCTGTGAAACATGAACACTCCAAACGACTGTGGCATGGTTATAAATTTCAATGAGAGCCCCAGAACAAGAAGTGATAATACTATTATTATTACATTATATATCACATTAATGTTTCTAATAATAACAATCGTCTTTCTACTGTTGAGGGGTCTCGCTTCAAAAAGATTGCGTTCGTTACAATTCCCGTTATGGGCAATCTGATCAGTATGCAGAGATCAATTTATATTAAGAGATCAAATTTATCAGCGAGATAACTGGAATGTGTGTACAACCATTTCCTGTCAGTTGTAAGTCGAACAATTCTATCATTTCTGTTACCTACGTGGTAGATCACAACCTTAACCACTGAAGATGTAACTGCATCTCAGAATAGAGAAAGCTTTCTTTTAAATTTCCAGTTAGATGAATAAATCTTGTATCTGTTACTAGGTTATTCCACTTAACAAGACAGACATCATAACAGCCATGAAAGAAATGTGTCTTTAGCACAAAGGAGTTAAAACTTTTAATATAATTGATATAGTACTGTATATTATCCCAGCTGGGTTAATTTTTTTAGCATTTCAGCAATTTCAGAATTAGCAACACATTGTTCTTTTTCACACCTCATACGCATATTTGGAGTGTTGAATGATGCTGTCAAGTGAGTGTGAATAGATATTTTCAAGTTGTAAATGAGCAGTATCTTTGTGTTAGCTCTCTGCTATGGAAAAACCAAGTAAGGGTGGTGCAGGTCATAAGGACACCCAGCCAAGGTCAGGGCTTCACTCCTCCCACTGAAATGGTAATAAAAGCCAAAGGACAGACAGTAAAGTAAGCCATGATTTTCTGAAAAAGACAAACAATAAGATGCTGCTTAATTACAGTAACATTCGATGGACACAGCAAACAAGAACTACTTTGACCATCGCTGCTACCGATGAAATATTAGCCGTCAACATACTCAATATTCAGGAAGAGACAGTACTTCCTCCACCGACTCCAGTGAGACCAAAGCCAAGTTCATGAATATTTTCTCAGGTAATCCATATGAATGGAAAAGCCAAGCAAGACGCGTTCTCACTGTCTTTGGTTGCAGAAAATCCTTTTCTACATAAACTCTCATCTACATATTGCCGGCTGCATTTGGAAGGTAAATAGTATGTCTTAACACACGGTATGGAAAATGGAAAATATCATTTTTCAACCATGTTCATAAATGGTAACTTCTATCCATAGCATACTTTTTTTTTTTTTTTTTTAAATATCTTCCTCAACTGACAACTTGTTACTGTAACTGTCAACTCTTGAGAAGGAACACAGACAATCCTTCTTGCAAAGCCAGTGACACAGTCTTGGTAAAACATTGATTAAGCACAGAGACCAGGCTCACAGTCATATCCCCATTTGCTCCACGCATATCTTCCTCAAGTATGTTGATGTCAGTTTTTCTGGCAGCGCAGTCAGTTAAAAGTGTGCCATTGATGTAATTCAAAAGCCACAGAGTACAGAGCTGTCCCTCTTCCCCCAGCCTGCCTCACCCAATTGGGGTCCATCACCATCACCAAAACAAACTTCTCCTCACTGCCAGGGTAATTTTTCCTTCTCCTCCACCACTGAGCACCAGTCACATTAATATCTTTGTAGAAGGCAAATATGTGCTCCAGGAGGCCGGTCCCAAGTGTTTTTTTTTTTTTGTTTTTTTTTTTCCAAAACCTCTTGC